AGTAAAATAGGAAATGATCGAGGCTAAATCACCCTGGGATCTCTCCGGTAGTTAAATCAATAGTTGTCTAGAATTATATTGAGTGATTTGAAGTACACACCTCTCAAATGAAAAAGAGGTTAGTATTTATCCCTGGCGGAGCTAGGGAGTCGAATGACAAATTCTATCGATAACTTAATTTTGTAAAATAAGATATGATGGCGATATCAGGAGTAAAGTTAAATTATACGACGATGACTATCACATCAATCATATTAATTACAAGTCAAATCATAGTGATGAACCAAGACTTTTGAGAACCTCGAATAAACAAGTCATTTCGAAATGGACTTTGACAAAGGCCGATTTGACCGAGGTATCCTTTGACTTAGGTTAATCGAGGTATCCTTCGAGTCGAGATGGCCGAGGTATCCACACTAAATAATCCCACTTTTCCCATTCAGTCTCAAGTGCCTTACATAGTCTTTCGTAGGGATGTAATCAAACTGAACTACTCACAAGCTGTCCACGAGGAGCTCGATAAAAAACTTTTGACTTGTATTCAGTCAAAATCGAGTGCAAGTAACTCAATAATTATTCAAGTCAAATTCGACTATTGATTTTTAAAGTTCAGTGGTTCATCATGCCTTACCGAGCATAAAATAATTAATTAAAAATTATATATTTAGTTATTATAATTTTACTCTTTTAGGTATGGGAGTTGTATATATTATCAGAATTACTCTTTTTATCGACTCAAGTACTCGAACTTAATTATATTCACAAGAAAATCAAGCACAATCGAGTTAATCTCAGGTTTTCGAACCATTCTTCCAATTCAAATTCCATTTCTGCTACTCGCTCGAACTCAAATTTGAGTTCAAATAATATATATTTACTGTCGAGTCGAGCTCGAACATAGCGATACTCGCGCTCGACTCGGCAAGATTACATTCCTAGTCTTTCGAAATAGTTTGGTAGTATATGACTTCGGATTTTACGAATATAAACAAGATACCTCGACATGAAACTCGCATAAGTGTATGGGTGCAGGTTGAAACTCATGTTTGTGAGGTTTACGAGATCGAGATCTCAGCTCTCATGCTCAGATGACGTCGACCCTTTGTAAGGGGAAATATATCTGGAGTACAAAATATGATGATTTAGGAGTAGAATGTGTTGGTTTAGACGCGGCGTCGACATTGCTCATAGGCCACCTGGTTTCCAATAGTCCGCACCGACTAAAGATTCCCATCTATAGTAGGACTTGGACCAACCTAATCCTTATCAAGAAACCATACACTAACGGAAACGAATTAAGAATAATCCTGCTTTACTGGCCCAACCCATCAAGGCGCTGTACTCTGAATGTATTTTGGAAAAAAAGGCAGTTCCGCGTATATATTTCCACAAAATTTCCTGCCCATTAACTGGTAATTATATAAGGAAAAAAATGATGATTATGTTGATTGAATCAATCAATGCGTATCTGCTTGCTCTTGGAATTGTTTCCTCCTCCTCCTCATAGTAAGAAAACTACTAGATACGTTTCCTGCTCGAGGAAATTTTTTGCTAGACCAGCCCAGCTTTTGAGTTTTGACATGGAGAAGCTGTATGGGGCACAATTAACACATCTGTTAATGCTTTTATTCTTCCTTGCAGGCATGCATTGTTGCTTTTGTAGAACAAATTTGAGTGCTTGCTGTCTTCAAGAAGAGAGATATGCTTTCCAGAAATTCAAAGCAAGCCTCTCCGAGCCAATCTTCCAGTACCAAAGAAATGCAACCCTCATGGACCATCGCAATCTACAGCGGCTGAAGATCACGAGGCAGAAGATGATGAAGACAGTAGAGAGGAGTCAATATTATTGTTCTATATATGGGTTTGTGATTGCAGGTTTTGCCACTGGGTTCTGGGGGTTTCTGAGAATCTTGGTGCTGAAAAAGGGCTGGAGACATGCCATTCATTTTGGCAGCTTCTTGGTTTCTGCAAAAGACAGAATTCCTCTAGAGATAGCTCTGAAAGCCAGGAGATTTTCACTTTCTGCAGCTTGATCATGCAAAATTCTGTCGCAACACTTGCGTTGGACTTTGCTTGCGAAGGTTAGCACCCATGGTGATGTCAGAGTCAAAGAAACACAACCGTTATGATTCCGCACCATATATGTTTGTATTCCGCACCTTGTTTGTATGGTCATTTTTCTTCAAAAAGATTTTTAGGTTAACTTAATTTTTAACTATTTTTTATCTTATATATATCAAATCGCTATAATATATATTTTTTATCAAAAAATAGCTATATGCTAGTCCAACTAATAAGACTATTGGAAAATGTATATATCATAAAGGAGTAATTTCAGAAACCTCTCCTGAGGTTTTTGACCATTTCACTAAACTTTCTTGAAATTTTTAATATTACACTTACCTCCCGTGATAATAGATGATGACTATAATAACCTTTATAATTTTTCAAAAAACAAGCCATTGATATAAAAAAAAAGGAAAAAGATAACAGAAAAATGAAAAATGAAAAAAAGAATTCTTCTTGACCTGACTATATATTATGGCCGAATTATTTCAACCATTGCCATTAAATTATAACCTTTTATCACTCAAATGTGCTAATCAAGGTAAATGTCTCCTTCATTCTATTACTCAAATATACTACTGCCTTTGGTGATGATGGAAGTAATCATCATTACCAACAACCCAATTGTTTATATCATTGAACACAAAAAACTATTGGATTACATGAAAGTATAATTTGATAAACCGTGCTAAGATTACTATCCTAAACTTGCATTTTGTTGATATTTTGCTTCGTTTCTCTTAATAGACATCAAACTTGTTTTCAATTAAATTGTGTCAATTCAGAGAAAAAATGTGGATTGATTTAGGATGACCAACCCAAATATTGAGAGCAGAGGTTAGAAGAATTTTGGTAACTAAGAGCTTGGCCGTTTGAGTGAGAAAAAGGTAAGAATTGTGAGTTTTATAACAAACAGTTTTGTAGGCAATATATGGAAGAAACCTATAGAGAGATAAAGATTATGAAGGTAAGAATTACGACGATGGATTTTAACATCTAAAACAAAGAGTTTGTTAGAAAGAATAAGAAGTGATAAGAATTTGAAAATTTGAATGGATATAAAAAACTATAGAAATGAAAAATATCAAGGCATTGGTTAAGTAATAAAATTCATAATTTTGATAATACCCAAATGTATTCTTGACTTTCAAAAAATTTTAATGATTATTCATATTAAGGAAATTTAGATGAGAGCATATACTTTTTTTTGATCTTACATCATCAAGGTGAAACCTAGACCTATGATCTAGAGGAGGTATGTGAAAATTTTAAAACGTGAGGAAAACTATCTGAAATTACTAGAAACCTCGAGGGACGTTTCTGAAATTGTCACTATCATAAATAAGCATGCAAGCTACTTTTACTACCCAAGTATTGATTTACACACATCTATATAAATACTTTCTTTGTTGAGTTATCTTTTCTCTCAATATGAAACTAACGGTTGCATACATCCCCACGAGTATCTATAGCGACGGTGGAAGTTTGAATTTCCGGCCCTGGGCAGACAGAGGGTGGTGCCTGGTGCCACCGCTTGAGTACTCGTTCCATCTTTTTCATTGAAAAAGAAGAGAAAAAGTAACCATATGATTGTCATCCTTTCGCAGACAGAGTTGAACATAAATGATGATTGTAAACCATTGTTAGAGGATAAGTGATAGGGCAGAAACTAAGTAATAATGAGGAATATATTTTACAAAGAAAGGTGGTCGAACAAGAGCATATCATGTGCGGAAGAGTAAAGACCGATGACAATGAATATGATCTTGTCCCGTATTTACTCAAACAAACAACGCTCGCTCAGTAGCTTCCTTACTCCTTACTTTCAGAAAGCATCTCAAAATATTACAAAACCAACAAAAAAATTTTTTTTTAAAAAAAGGTACACAAGGAAAAGAAAACAACAGCAACAAGTAGAGATGGGGACGCTCATCATCAATTGGTATTTACTAATGCATGCATTACAATCATCCATTTGTGCTGTCACCAATCCCAAGTTCGAACCAATATTTATTGTAATATTTTTTATGATATAATTTATAAAAAATAAAAATATATATTAAAAAATATATTCATGATACATGTAAAATATTATTTAAAAAAAATAAAACATCCAAACAAATCCATTATTATTTCAGAGTCAGAAAAGGGGCCTTTAGAGTTAGTGCCCCTATCGAGACTAGGTCTGTTAATGGGCCGAGTCCAAGCCAAAATTTATTATTTCAAATTCGGACCCGACATATAAAATCGGATTCGAATTCGACCGGTTTATCCAACAAATCTTCTACTCTAGTTTCGGATCCAGATTCAACGGGTCTCGACTCCGAGTCTGAATCTACCCGAAAAAAAATTATGAAATTTTATAATTTCTAATAAAAATAAAAATATATATATTTATACACTAATTTCTAACTAATACAAAAAAAATCAAATTAACTTTATTCAAATACATCACCCTAATCAAATTATATTAATAAATATATATATTTTAAATTATTAATCCATTTATATCTAAATTTAAATCTAATACGAGTCAAAATACTATATTTCGTAACCGATCCATTTTTTTCTTTGTCAAAACGAATCCGGATCCAGGTCTGAATAACGGAATTAAATCTCTATCCATATCCGCAATAATTTCACAAATTCGGACCAGATTCGTGTCTAGACCCAGATCGTTGACAGGCCTAGTCACATCACGAGAAGGAAAAAGAAAAGAAAAATTAAAGATGGCAAAATCCTAGCCAATTTATTGCAATTGATTGATTAGTTAACATGTTGGTTAAAGCAATTGAAACGAGGTAAGCCCCCAAAAAAAAAAAACAATTGGTGGTCAACATTTGCAACATTTTTGCATACTCCACCAGTATTTGACTACAGAAGTATTCTCTAATTACAATTTAACACCCCCCCCCCCAAAATTTATTAAAAAAAAAAAAAAAGGGCCCGGGTTTGTCCCGCCCTTTTTTTTTAAAGTTAATTTTTATGACGTCATGATCAATTAGTAATAGTAGCAGTAAAACCTACCTACTTGCCGCTCCACAAAAATTACAAAATTATCACAAAGCAGTCCCGTCAATCAATCGTCATCCCATCTTAATCCCGGAAGATGATATCATTAGCAATGTCCATTAGGGGGCCGACACACGTCGGAGAAAATTTCCTCGCAAACAGAAACGGGTCACGCCTTCTCCTCACGCTCCCTGACCAATCCGACGCGTTGGATCCTTCCGTCCCGTATCTGGGCTTGGCTTTTCTGAGGGCCCTGATCATCTCCGGTCCCACCTCCTCCTCAAAATACGTCCTCGGGTGACCCCCGTAGCCGCCCCTCCAGTCCACGTGCGTCAGCGTCGCCGGGACGCATCCCTGTGGGTCCGCCTTCCTCAGCAGAGTCGGAAAATAGTGCTCCTCCGGGTAACACGTGTCCGGGCTCAGGCACGGCAGCTTGAACTTGGACCACAGCCGCCTGTCACGCGCGACGATCCTCGCGTGCTTCCGTTTCAATACCCAGAACTGCGACCCAATCCGAAAGTCCTCGAACTTCACCTCCGGCTCCATCACCTCCTCCCCACGCGCCGCCCACCGCTCGTACGCCCCGGGCTCGTCCTTGAGGATCTCGATGAAGCTCTTCTTGGACTTGATCAGGATCCTGTAGGTAGATTTGAAGGAGCGGAGCGGGATGCAGGAAGGGGAGAGGAGGGCAAACATGTAGTTGGACGCGTCGTCGAGGAGCGCGCGGGAAAGGAGGCGACGCGCTGCCGCGATGAGCGTGGGGGAGTGTCTCCGAGTTGGCTTGGAGGGAATGACCCGGCGAGCGAACACGCCGCGGAAGGGCGGGGTGGTGTAGTTGAAGCTGGGGTCTGCATGGATGTAAATGTTGTAGAGATATTTGGGAGTGTTGTTGAAGAAGAGTTCCCAGAGGGGCTCGAATGGGAGCGGGGTGGTGGTGAGGAACATGAATGCTAATTTCTTGAGGGGCGGTTTTGGGTTTGGGTTGACTCGTAACAGCTGCGAGTTATCATCTTCATCCGTTTCATTAGGGGCAGCTCCTCCGCGGACGGTGGCAGCTTGAGATAGTGATGGTGAAGAAGAAGAAGAAGATGATGATGACACGGTATCAGTAGCAGCAGCAGTAGTATTTTTGTTGTGGGGTTTCTTTAAGGTTTTGACAGCGGGAAGTAAAGCCGAGAGTGGCCTAACTGTAGCACTTTTATTTGCTCCAGTAGTACTGGTGGGGGCGGAGGTTTGAAGGCAGGAGGTGGCGGAGCGGGTAGATGGGGTGGAGGAGCTGGGGGTGGTGATGGTGAAGATTATGGCAAGAGGTAAACAGAGGAGGAGAGCGCAAAGGAGGGAGAGGGGGGTTGGAGAGAGCATGATGGTTTGAGCTCAATACTTCCTTTCTTGATTCCTTTCCGGTGAGATCAGAATTTTAAGAGGTTTGGGTTGGAAAGCAAGAAGTTGGTACGGTTTGCCGGGAAAAGAGAAAATGAACGGCGATGATGGAGTGATGACATTTTTTCCAGTGAACACTGAGCTGAGCAACTAAATTGAAAGTCAAATTATCTGTTTGTGTTCTTATACTCCGTATCTTTTAATGGAATAGTATAGTATAGCGGTCGAGGTTGATATATATATATCTATATATATTTATACACATTGGATACTATTATCTGCAGTAATGCCTAGTGAAAGTTGTGACGAAACAGTGAAGAAAATTTGTACGCCAATTCCAACCTTTCTATTATGTGCTTTCAATCACAAGTAGTAGTAGTAGTAGCGTAGCAATTGGTCAATGCTGGATTAGATCAAGAAAGTAGTAGTCATTGAGTGGGGATATGTGCTTTTTTTTTTTTGGGCAAAATGTTGAAACACGTGGCTTACATGCCAGGTTGATTATCATTATACAAACTTAAAAAAAAAAAAAATTGTTGCTTTTTTTTTTTTTTTTTAGCAAATTGGGCAATGTAATACATGTTGCCTCCTTTATTTCTTTCTTTTTCTTTTCTTTTTTCAAGTTTTTAGGGCCACAAAAGTTAAAGGAGGGCATGGCATGAAGGGTACAGGGGAATAGTTCTCATGAGTCATGATCCTAATGAAACGCAAATCACATTTGGTTGGGACAAATTACTTGCTACCAGTAAGTATAGTAGTGCTAATCTTGTTTAAGGAAAGCCAAAAAGCAAAAGAAAAGGATATATATATATATATATATATACATAGAGAGAGAGAGAGAGAGAGAGAGAGACGTTTGTTGATAATAGACAAACGAGGCAAAGGCAATTTGTGGATGGATGACCATGACCATCCAACGTTGATTTGAGTGCAAACAAGCATCAAAATTTTGCAATAAGGCAAATGCCAATCCATCCACCATTTACCACCACACCCTTTTCTTCTTTCTTTCTATCTAAGAGTGCTGATTGAAAAAGACCCGGGCGTTAAAAGTAGTGCAAAAAGTGCTTTTCACGTAAACAACTTTCTACTCCAAAGCCAACGTAGAGGAGGGTTTTTGGATTTGGTTTGTGGATTTGGGTTAAACCCCATGAATTGAGTTCGAGTCTCAGTTTCGTTGGATTCCTTCGCGCACTTAACGTGCTAGAGTCGGGTTGGGATGCCGAATTTGGATTGCAGGGGATTAATCAGGTCTCATAAGAATTGATCCGGACATCCCTGTGTCGATAAAAAAAAAAAAAAAATCCAGCTGCCCAGGTGCTAGATAGAGTGCATTTTTGTGCACAATGTGTTCTCTCTTTTGAATTCCTCCACATACAGCATCCAGACTCAAGAACCGAATACCTGACTACTGGTAGTTAATTTGGTTCATATTAATGCGTGAATTTTTTTTTTTTTTTTTGCTGACGAAGTGGATGTCCGGATCAATTCTTATGGGACCCGACTAATCCCACTCCGGCCGGCTCAGGAGGAGAGGCCCCATCCCTCGGACATGATAACTACGAGACTCGGACCCTTGCGGATACTGAACACCAGTTCCTAAGGAGACTTGTTGAGACCAATCGAGCTGCGTGATATGAACTAATATAAAGTGTCACTAAGACGTGCATATCTAGGCCGCAAAATGAACACCACCACCCCCACACTCCAAAAAAGAAAAGAAAAGAAAAGAAAAGAAAAGAAAAAAGAACCCAATTACCTTTGGACCTCAAGTTCCTCCACGTGGCTTGGGATGCACACTGGACCCGACATCCGTCTTGTTGTTGTACTGGTTGGACCTAAAAGCTGGGACATGGGCCTGCTTTCTTTCAGGACTGGTTTGGAAATCCTTTTACGGGCTCCTAATTAAAATTTGACCCAGCCAAAATTTGGTTGGGTACGACGGTATCACGTCCTCGTGCTTGAGGGACTAGTGGGCGGAAGAAGCCTTAGGTATGTGGTCTACCAAACTCAGATTTGCAAGTAGTAATTCTCAAGGTGCTATTTGTTCACCTGGGCCCCCAAATGTATGAGAATTTAAGCACAAGCTGAAAAAGTCTTCGAAATCCGAAAGAGAAGCGTAGTACAAATTAGATTGAGACCCTCCGAAGAAACCCTCTCAGCTACATATTATTATTGCCAGGAAATCCATTACTCTACACCACTCTACCTGTCCTGCATTTACCATTCTCATCTTGACAGACTTAAAAAGAGTTTAGCTCCAATCGTGCCCAATAATTGACAACTAGAGCTGCAGACGAATCAAACCGCTCGCAGGCGGCTCGACTTGGTCAAATCGAATTTAAAAATATTAAATTCGTTAGCAAGCGAACTCGAATATATATATATATATATATATAATTTTTTTATTTTAATAATAAAATTACATATATATATTTTTATTATTTTATTATTTTTTAAAAATAAAATAATAATTATTTTTTATTTTTTTCAAGTTCAACCTTTAAATTGATAGTTCGTTGAACTTGAATTCGAATTCGAGTTTAATAAAACTAAATTAAAACTCGGCTCGATTAGATCAATTCGATTCGACTCGTTCGTAGTGCTGTGAACAACAAATGATGCTTAATTCTATCTTCTATTACTAATTCAAGAAAGATTAGCAAAGAAGCCCAATCACTACCACTAGCAAACAGTCGATTTGTAGTAGGGTAGGGAGTACGGTGGAAGTTAGAAAAAAGGGTTGCATGAGTGAGGCCGGGGTTTGTCTAGCGGCCACCGACAGTGACCAAAATCTTGCAACCGAGTTTCCCTCCCACTGCATGAATGGTCAGGACGACTCATCATCAGGATGAGTAACCAGACAAAGCCACGAAGGGGTCATACACTGTTGGGATGCGGGAAAGAGAGAGATATACTCAGAGAAGAGGAAGAGAGATGGAGGGAGGGCCTGAGGCAGGGAAGCAGGCATGTGGATGGGATCAGTGGGGAACACTCCAAACTCTATCAAGTATCAACACCTCCTCCTTTGCCTTGCCTTGAATAATTGAGGGCAAGTGACAGATAAAAGCGAAAGTGCAAATATGCAAAAAGTTTTAGTAAGGTCACGTCCACTTCCCTGACCCAATCACCCCTCCTGACTCTGACTCTATTTATCTCCGTCCCCTCTCTACTCTTCTCTTCTCTTTCACACGCATAAATAGCAACAATACCCATTATCACTGTGTCTCAACAGTCTGTTTTCTAAAAAAACTTTTATATAAAATATGTTATACATAACGTAAAATAAACAAGTTTAGATACATTTGATTTTGATCATCTAGGTGAAGCATACTTAAAAACTAAAGTTTGAAGTTTTGAATATTGGTAACGAAACACAACACGCACTCTCAAAATTAGATTGTGTTTAGATTGTATTTTTTATAAAAAAATTTACTGTAACGATTTGATGTATGTGAGAAAAAAAGATAATAAAAAAATATAATTAAAAAAACGATGTAATTTTTCGACGAAAAAAAGTAATTCAAACAAAGATCTAAGTAATTCGTTCTTATCAATTGAGTCAATTAATTTGGGTTAGCACCACTACTGTAGTTACTCCGTTCAAAGTCTTTCTTCAATCCATCTTTTCTAAGTTGTACTGTACCACTAGCGTTCAAATCAAATTCTATGACCAAATACAGTCACCCCTCACCAAACAACATAGGCATTACTGTTGTTTCTCTTTAGTGCTTTTGCTACGCCCCACAGGCTTATTAGCTGTACTGAGTTTCCAAAACAGAGTACTGCGTTCTCTCCTCTCACTCTGTTCTTGACTTCTTCTTCTTCAACAAGAAGATGCCTAGACCAGGCCCGAGGCCTTATGAATGTGTTAGGAGAGCTTGGCACAGCGACAGGCACCAACCCATCAGAGGCTCTTTAATCCAAGAAATTTTTAGGTACTTTTTCTGTTTTTTGCCTTCCTATGGAACCACGCTTGAATAACTGCATGCATTCGTAAGGAAATTGCAGATATACGCAAGCATCAAACTCTGGAAATGTTAATGGCTGGTTGTCCTGTTTGTCTCTTTGTTCTTGAAGGATTGTGAACGAAATTCATAGCTCAGCTACTAAAAAGAACAAGGAATGGCAAGAAAAGCTTCCTATTGTTGTGTTGAAAGCTGAAGAAATCATGTATTCCAAAGCCAATTCCGAGGTTAGGCCAAACCTTTGCTGCTATCGAGGTGGCACTGTGTCGCTCATTATTTTTAGTGTTGGCTTCGTTTTTTCTTTTCTTCTTTCTCCTTTTTCCCGGTGAAAGTTCCTCAGGACTTTTCTTTATATGCTTAGGCTGAATATGTGGATATCAACACACTTCGAGACAGAGCAAATGATGCCATAAATACTATAATTAGAAGGGATGAGAGTACGGAAACTGGAGAGCTTCTGCAGCCTTGTATTGAAGGTATTTTTTTTTTTTCTAAATAACATTTTATTCCTTCCAAGCACTTATTACCGGTGTGGAAATGGCTTCTTTGCAATTTCAGAATTAGCTGCTTCTTGGGTGTATATTTCTCCTTTTATCAGTAATACTCGTGATGCTGGCTGTGTGTTGACTTGAGGCAATAATTTGAGTTGGGATAGGATAGTTTCTCAGTCACAACAGTGCAACTGTGCATAGATAGTGATCTTTCTTTGGCTCTCTTGTTTCCTTTTATGTGTAGCTGCTCTGCATTTGGGCTGCACTCCTAGAAGATCTTCAAGGAGTCAAAGGAATATTACTCCGAGATGTTACCTTAATCCAGAAAAACCTGAGGCTATATCTGTTTCTCTAACCAATTTGGACAACAAAGTTCAAGGAAATTATGCAACTAATTGCTCCTTCATTCCCCAAAGTCCAAATCTTTTGATGAATTCCGCCGATACCTGCTTAAATTATGATAATTCTGGCATCCAAAAGACAGATTCTGAGTATCCCAAACTGCGAAATTCTCCGAGCATTAACCATCAATCTCGACCAAGACTAGCACCTTCTTTATCAAGCTCATGTTCTGTTTACCCCTTATATCATGGCAATCACTTTCAATTTCAAGACTCTAGCAAGTCAAATTCTCACCTCATGAAGACTGATAAGAAAGGTGTGATGAAAAGGCGTTCAACTTGTGGACAGGATGCTTTAAATGTTATATCACAAGCAAGTTCCCATTATGTTTCTGAGACCCCACATGGAAGTGGATGTGATTTATCATTGCGTTTGGGTCCTTTAGGAGTTTCATGCTTAGGTGAAGAAAATAGTTGCCCCCAAGAAGTGGAAGATGGTGGTGGTTTGGGTACATGTAAAGTGGGAAGCAAGGATAATGATTTGTCTTCACAAAGTGACAAAGACTTC